TAATTCACAGCTTAAAAAGAAGAAAAAAATGTACTTACGGATGTATATTTTATGTTAAAATATCTTTACAACTGCGAAGGTGACATATATTTAGAAATACGTATTTCATGAAAAATACATTTGAAAATATTATTAAATATTTACGAATGCATTTTATGTATCCTGATTTCTCTTCGAGCTGCAAAAATCTTTCACCTTTATATATATATACAGTGTATGTAAATATAGAGAGAGTGCACAATTTGTTTTTTCATGCACATTAATGTGCAAACAAGATGAAATTGAATTATGAATAAACACATGTGAAAACAAGTTAGGTTGGAAACAAACTGACCAATCTATTTCAACCATTATGCAAGTTCTTCCGTGAATTTTCATCAGCATTACATTAACCTGATTATTTGCAGAAGTGAAAGAAGTATTGGAAACACACACAGAGCCTTTATAGCACCCAATTAAATATAGCACAGTTGCTTCTCAAAAAGAGCCAGCTCTTTCATTCAGCTACGAATCACATGTTAAGTAATCAACAAATGATCAATTCAGTCTGGGGAAAAACTTTAGAGAAAGCATCATAAATTGCTATGAATACATGCTAATGACTCCCATAAAATGTAGCCATGAATATATCAGACTAATTCATGGAGAGCAGAAATATAAATGGCTCTTACTCATGACTGTTAAATGGAATTTCCTTCATCAGTGTCAGCATAATGATTCTAGCAGATTCTACAAACAGATTAGAGAAATGTCATTTCTTTGTGCCCTGCTTGAGAAAGTTTCTAAAGCAGGGGTCCCCAGCCCCTTGGTTGTAGGAACCAGGCCACGCAATTATGCGGGCGAGTGAGCAAAGTTTCATCTGCTCATGCACAGGATCTAGGTTGCACATGAAACATCCCCCCCACAGTCCATGGAAAAATTGTTTTTCACAAAACCGGTCCCTGGTGCCAGAAAGATTGGGGACCACTGCTCTAAAGGCATTTGGATAGCTAAAAAGTTAACATACAAAATTATACAAAGTGGTTAATCCTAACAGTAGGATGGCTTTAACCTTCAATTCAGTCTTGATTCCTAACAACTGCCATGCAATTTGACTGGATGCATGAGAATGACTCCCCAGTCACCCAACTGGCTTTGTGTCCTAGGCAGGAATAGAAGTCATAGTCCCCCAGTGTACCACCAACAATCACCATACGGGCTGTTAATAGGACCATTAGTCCATAAATAATATTTACTTTACAAAATGGTGAATACCCAATTAGTCATCAATAATTCATCACTTTTCTGGGTATTCACGCATACAATAAATAAATAAATAACTACTTCAAAATATAAAATGTAAATGCAACTTATTCAGAAATACAGATTTGCATGCATGATGCATATTTGCATATTATATTTTTTTATATAGCAGAAACAGGTTTACCTATGACTCTAACTTGTATAATTCCTGCTACCGTTTCTCCTTTCTGCAAATGCAGGGGAGATGAGAAGAAGTAGGCACACGGAATTAAGCACATTTCAGCCTCCGTTATTCATAACTCAGAAAGGGTGATTTATTTTGACAATCATTAACTTAGACAAGGGTCTCCAAATTCGGCAGCTTTAAGACTTGTGGACTTCAAATCCTAGAATTCCCTAGCCAGCATGGCTGGCTGAGGAATTCTGGGAGTTGAAGTACACAAGTCTTAAAGTTGTCAGGTTTGGAGACCCCTGAACTAAGACATGGGAAAACTGCACCCATGTGGAACTTCTTTTCACCACAAGCAGCAGAAACATGTAATATATCTAGTGGTGACAGAACTAGCTACAAGCTTCTGACAGACCATGCTCTCTTTCCCAGTTTAAATCAAATATTTGTGCAGCACAGGACTAGTACTCTCTTCAAATACAGGTACAATTGTACACATAAGGAGGTTGTACAACACCAACAAGCACTTGCGGTAGTCAAACATTACGGGGGCAGACACCTTTGTGAAAGCCTAGTGTCCAATTTCTCCTTCACCCTGAAACGAAATGGCAGAGCAGTTCATGATGACCAGGGAAAAGAGGTTTCAGTCAATTAAGAGAGGAGCAGATCCTAACCACTTTGTTGGTGGACAATGTCAGAGCCATGACAAAACTTGTGTTGGAAAGAAAGCAAATACTACTTTAAAACTAAAACCGAAAAGGATGGCTTTAAATTGGCTGGGGATGAGACCAAAGGAGCAGGGCTGAAGAAAAGCATTTTATTGAGGCACTTTTGTGCTGCAAGTAGGAGACAATGAGGAACAACTCACAATCCTTTCCGAGAGATATGGATTCCAATAAGCAATTGTGAAGAGCAGATTAAAAGGGAGGGACTGAAGCCTGAAGCTGACCAAAAAAAAAGGTGGTTGGAGAGCATGTTTAAATCTCCAGGGTCAGATTAATTGCGTCCTAGGATAATGAAGGACTGTGCTATTCATTTGATCAAACTTTTCTTTGTTGTCTTTGAGAAGGTCTAGAAAACAGATGATGGGCCAGATGACAGGATGCAAGCATTGCCTCCCATATCTTCAAAAAAGGGAAAAAGGAAGCTCTAGAGCAGCCTTGCTCAACTAGGCTTCCAAGAGATTGCGATTGGAAACAAAAATCATTTTTTTAAAAAAATTCCCATGCCACACAATGCTACCATTCAATCTTTGGAGAATTTTTAGTTGCCAGCATGCCACTTTGTAAAACATGGATTGTGTCCGTTAGAAGTGAACTGTATTGTGAAGTTTTTGTATTTTTGCTATCTTTATGGTGGGGTTCCTCCAGGGCGAAAAGGTTGACAATGGCTGCTTTAAATGGTTGCAGTCTTTCATTGATCTGTAGAGTAGATCAATGGAGAGTTTGTTCTCAAAACATCTTGAGAACAATGCAGTGAATCAGCATTTACTGTTTCTGTGACAACCAAGTTCTCTTAGCATGTACCGTGTGACTTTGAAGACTCGAACAGCTTACCCAGCAATTGCTGTTGGCTGTTCTTTCCTCCTCTTTTCTGAACATGAAGCAACAAGGGGAGAGAGATTAGGTGTGTCATAGCTAGGCCCCCAGATATTTTACAATCACCAGATGGCAGCAAAGGAATACAGGCATACCTCATTTTATTGCATTTCACAGATACTGTGAGTTTTTTTACAAGACCCTCTACCAATAAAAAGATTATACTTTGGTGAGGCTCAGAGGATGATTAGCATTTTTAGCAATAAAGTGTTTTTTTTAATTAAGGCATGTACACTGGTATTTTTTTAAGCATAGTGCTATTGCTCATTTAATAGTCCATGCGTAAATATAACTTTTATGTGCACTGGGAAGCCCAAAAAAAATTGGTGTGACTTGCTCTATTGCAACATTTGTTTTGTTGTGGGGGTCTCAAACCAACCCGCAATATCTTTGAGGTATTGCTGTGTGAAGAAAATTCTATTTCTTTGCTTCCATGTGGCGGTCATCAGGAATTCTGCAGCCCAGTTGAAGGCTTGTCTTAGACTATTTTATTTACGGGGTTTGATAACACCGCTGTGCTACTTGAAAGATACTTCAGATAGTATCATCCTCAAAAGATAGGCAAAACATAATTCTACAGTGCAGGGGACAAAAGAATTAATTTAAATTACAGGAAGGCAGACTTCAGTTGAATATTAGAAATATTCTGATACTCCGCAAGCTTGGAAAAAATGTATGAGGGAGGGGTGTGCTTTTTGTTTTGCTTTGATTTACTTTGTAACAAGCTCATACATTGAACATCTGAGACAGTATTTCTTAAAATTTATTAAAATTTTGCTTTTCCATTTCCCACTTTTAAAAATTATGGAGGACTCCAGAGAGTTTTCATTTGTTATAGCTTATATGTTATCAATATTCACCATATTAAAAATTAAAATCGATGCACGCATAGGATATCTATTTATTGAATAATGTGAAAATAACAATATTAAACATATTTATTTATTTATTTCATTTGGAAAATGTATATTGCCATCTACTTGCTCACAGCAACTCAAGGCGGCTTACGGGAAATAAAAACACAATATAAAAGAAAAATAATAAAAAATAAAAATAGTAAAATAATAATAAAATAATCACACACACCCCACCCCGGCGGCAACACACACTCATATCAGCCATTTAATGGGCTCCACCCTGCTCTGGGTTTCTCAGTTAATATTACATATTAACATAAATATTTTTAATTTAAAAAGATTATATTTTTAACAAATAAATTATAATGAGAATGTTTGCATACATGTTCAATCTCTGGCAAATAATTTTGATTTCATGAATCCCTGGGAGGGTCTTGGGGAGCCCTTTAAAAGGCACTGATTTAAGAGATACCCCAAATCAAGTTTTTCAGCTTGCAGCCTGTAAACTGCATGTACCACCGTTGTTTTTTTGTTTATTACTCTTGGAGGTGCCTTCCCCAAAACTGCATTACCAAAATTTATCAAAACTCCATAATTTACAAAATGTGATTCTTCTGCTACGATGGAACCATTGCAGAAATAAAAAGACACAAATAGTGTAGTAAATATGTATAGCTATAGACACATATGCAGTCTCCAACTAGCAAATACCATGCTATCATGTCCATGCTTTAAAACATACCGTAGTTACATGTTCCTACATTCCCTTAGCCCAGGGGTCTTCAAACTTGGCCCTTTTATGACTTGTGGACTTCAACTCCCAGAATTCCTCAGCCAGGCACTCTGCCTGAGGAATTCTGGGAGTTGAAGTCCACAAGTCATAAAAGGGCCAAGTTTGAAGACTCCTGCCTTAGCCCATTTTCCCCCTCAATTCACTTGTGTGTCATGGATGTTCACAGGGACAAGGGAGAGACATTTAAATACCAATCTCGATGTTTTGACAAAATATATATCTGCAGCATTTGCACGATGAAATGGCCCTTTCAATGTTTTACAGTTTCCACTATTACCTATGATGCTTTTCCAAGATAAAAAGAGTGAGAAATACAAGAACAGGCACTAGTTGGCACTTACCTATAAGATATTCAAGCCAGAATTGGTCCTTCTCTGGATTGTATGCACGATTGAATGTAATCTGTACATGGTAAGACTGTCCTCTGCGCACAATCAGTTTTAAGTTGTAATATTTGTCTGTGTGATGCTCCTTCTTATTAATTTCATATTCACGGCTGAATACATTGACTGCTTGGACTTCCAGAATATCTTCAAGTAAACAGAGATAGAAAACATCACTTTTTAAAGCTAGACAGCCATTTCCCCACATTTAATTCCATTTGCTTAAATGTATTTCACAGAAAATTCATTCTTATGTCAGTCAGCAATTTCTCTGCATTTGAACAGAACATTGGATTATGAGGTAAAGACTTTTTCTCAAATATCTGAGGGAAAGTAAGAGTAACTACCTTGTGAGGAAAGATTGACATACTTTAAAATCTATGCTTTTATCATTTTAGATAAGACAAACAGGATCTTCCCTGTTATTTCCTAAACTACCCTTTGTTTTCAGGCACAAAAAAAATCCCACTCTCACATCTGGCTGACTTGTTAAGGAATAAACAAGCCAATTTAGCTCCCAATTTTGTGATAACTTCCTACATTTTAAATAGTTGGAGCCAAGGGACATGCCAGATTTTATAAAGTTGATGTTAAAACTTCATTAAAAATCTCTAACAGTTAAGTGTTATGATTATATTTTTTTTCTCTATCGTTGATTGAAGTAATCAAATTAAATGTCAGGAAATCAGTGTTATGGGGTATTATATTTAGCTTTGAATTTGTCACTTTTGGACTTGCTACTTTTATTTTAACTTATTTATTTTTCATATTCAACTAATATATTATGCTTGCTACATTGTGAAGATCTATGTCATAAACAATCAAAACTAAATTGAGCTGAGCTTAGCAATGCACTATGTATTCACTCCCGTTTACTATAGGACAAAGTGAGCATCTCAGATAATATATTTGATTGAAATACCAGTATAAATTAAGAATTCCAGCAGTGCTCAGTTTCTTACAATCTATAATATATGTTTCTACGTATTTGAAAAAGAGGTTACTTTTCCACTGTATTTAATATTTAAAAACATCATTCAATAATCATATTTATTATGACTGTTTAAGTTGTTTGGATGTTGTGTCAGGCCCTGTGACTTGGAAGAGTGAACATTACTTTTCTTCTTGGTATCCTTTTAAGAGACTTCCAGCATTCAAACATGATATACATTAACCTCTATTGGGATATTCATTTTTATTTGGCTGAAAATATGAACCTGGCTTGAAATGGATATTTTATTTATTAAGATGGCTCTAGACCCCACATTCTTCAAAATGTTTTCTGGTTTAATGAATGTTCATATCAGGCTTTTAATTTAATGTTAGCAAGCTTCCAAAATTCTGTTTTAAACAAAAACCTCTCAGTTTCATCGGCTTTTTATTTAGACACACAGTTGACAAATATTCTTGTGATTTTGGAAGAAATCATGAGACCTGAAGTTTTATTTTGAAGAATGAATGATGTAGCAAATTTCTAAACCTCATGACACAGGGTGGGACCGAGCAAAACTATGCAACCAATTTTGCAACTTTGGCCAGCGAATACATGTGAAATTGTACACACATGTTTTTATGAAGTCCTTGGTGCTCTTATGTTAACATAATGTTATCTAGTCAAGTAATGAAATGTCTGCAAGTCAACAACCAAGCTCAGAGAGTACCAAGGACCCCACAGTTCAACCCTGAGCTACATATATTCTCTTTTATTGGACACAAATTTTGCCAGGCCTGTTTTCCACAGCAACAAGCACAAACAAAATACATCTGGGACTGGGGAAGGGAGCAAGGATTCTTAAAAACTATAGGAGCTGCTGTATATTTAAAGCACATGCAGCAATTATACTGTTGCAGTCCTTATTAGCAGCTCTTCTCAGCTTTTCCCATTCCCAACTACAGAACACCCCACTTTTGACCTTAAAGGAAGCCTCATCAATGATGCAGACCCTTTGAAGACAGATAATGCAGCCCGGAGGCAATCCTACCACTTCCAAATTAAATTTTAATTCAACAGCTGAGCGCCCTTATTGTAATGTCGAAGCAGAGTCCTGTGGTTACTCTAAGAAAATATACCGCTCTTTATGCCATTGGCCATTGCAAAAGACTTTAATAAGGCTCGTCTTTAGACAGACTAAAGAATGTCATGGCAGTAGGATTAATCACCTAGTATCATTCTAATAAAGCCATGTTGCAAGCTGGTTTGGGTTTTATAACACATATTCCCAGTAGATATTTCCACCCTGCCAAAATGTAATTTAAGCTGTGTTCTGCTGCCTCAAGTAGTATATGAACCAAATCTCAAGAGAGAGGAGCCCTTCATTTTCCTGAAGCCTAGTAATCCTCAATTATGCCAAAATCTCTCCAATTTAAAACCTCAGTTGCTAATACCAAGGCTACACTCTGACTTATACTTGAAAATACATAGCAATGCTACAGGAGAAGGAATACCAGGTACAGCCCTAGGATTTTATGTCTAGAAAGCAGCCCCCCCCACCACCCCCACCCCCACACAGCATCCCAAGTCTCTCTCACATGATGCTTCTCAGGCTGCATAAATCTAGAAGAACACCAGGTGGCAGGAGACGAAGTTTTCTGTATCTCTTTGCTGTCATCTGGTCCTCTAGATTTTTGCAGTTCACTTGTGAGATATAGTGGGAGAGGGTGAAGGGAGTCTCTGTGTGTGGGTAAAAATGCAAAATGCTGTAGATATGAACACATAGTGGCATTCTAGAGAAACAGATCTGGCTGAAAAATAAGAAAGCAAAGATTAGGAATACTCCTTTCTCAAAAGAGAGAAGTAAGAAATGATGTGCTTCAGGGATTTATCTTGGGATCCTGCTTAAAGTTGCTTGTAGATATTCTTGACTTAGTCATAAGTAGTGAGCCAGCCAAATTTGTGGAGGATAGCACACTGCTGATGCAGTAAAAACCAAATGTGGCTAGAAGCGCTCCAGAAGAATCTATTGTAACTGGATCATTGGCCAACCAAATTGCAAATGAAATTTAATAGAAGTGAATGTAAAGCTGTTGAACCCCCCCTTTCCCAAGCTCTGATGGTTTATATATTGTTTATAACTAATATCTCAAAGATTTGGGGGATCATAAGGAGATTTCAGTGACAATTCAGGGTGCAGCCAGTTCCATCCTAGGAATCACGAGGAAGGGGAATGGAAATAAAGCTGCCAACATTGTAATGAATTTAATCATCTCTATTGTGTATCTGCATCTATAATGTCCTTATATAAATCTATTGAGCAACTGCATGTCATTATTGTTGGAAGAAGGATATAAAGCAGCTGGAAAAATTACAGAGGGCAACCAACGTTATCAGGAAGTTCAAGTTCCTTTACTATGAGAAAATGCTAGAATGTCTGGGACTCTTAGGTGGGGAAAATGGTGGTAGAGCCATGACTGAAGTGCATAAACTTATATGTGACAGGGACAAAGTGAACTTCTCTGTCCTCAAAATGCAAGGATCAGCAGTCATCCAATAAAGTTGATTAGAAAGAGTTCTAGAGCACAAATAAGAAAAGGCAGTAGCAACTTCTGTGATACATTATCAACAGAGGTAGTGCTGGCTGCTAATTTGGATTATTTTAAAAGGGGGAGTTGGATAGATTTATGGACAATTCTGTACAGGACTACTAATCTTGGACATTCAATATTATCTTAGGGTTATGAGCAATGCACCTCCCAAATTCAGTTTCAGGAGAACAATTGAACAGGAGAATGTTTCTATCACCTACTTATGAGCACTACGGAGGTATCTGAAGTTCTGGGCTGTTGCAGAAGCAAAATTACTTTATGTAGATGTACCACCTACTTGGTTTTGTAATCTTACTGCTAGCATCATTTTTATTAATGCTGGATGAAGGTGGGTATTGGTCTGATCCAGCAGATTATTCTTATTCTCTTATATTTGTCTTTTCTTATCTGAAACAGAATTGGTGCTCCAAGGCTTACAATTTTCTTAATACTTCTGCTGATATTGCAAACAAACCACAAATACTTCTGCTTATTTTCATGTCACACTGAGGACCGCATCCGAGAACTTTCATCACATAACCTCAAAATGTAATGATTAATCTGCCTTCCACTGTTCATGAGTTTCACAATAATGCAGGGAAGAGTGCTAAGGGCTTCTTTTTTTTCAACAAGCAATATTTTAGGAACTAATTAGCCAAGTGACCCTGGTTGCTCTGAGCATGGATCCATTAGTTGCCACAAGAAACCCTGCTGACCTAGAGTGCTGCAGGAAAAATAATTTTTGCCTTCTGCTATGTTCTTTCTAAGGAGAATGTTCACTCTGATCTATGAGCACTATCCAATTACAGAAAAAGTAAGCTATGATATTTTAGAATACGAAATATTTCTCCTTTCTATTAAATTTGAAAATGTCATCTTATCAAGACATTTGTCCTATGGTCAAGAGGTAAGAATTCTTGAAACAAGGATTATTGATGGAAATCCCCTTCATACATTCGAGCAGAAGCATGAGGACTGAACTGGATCCAAAAAACTGAACTACACATAAAGACTTTCTTCCCCTCCTGCCTCAATCTTCCATGTCTTTCTACTTCAGGAATCCAGCCAACACATCAGTAGAGGCCTACAAGGATCTACATTAACCTTCTGCTTCTCTACATACCCGTATTGATTAGCAGGTTCTATAAGAAGGCTGAAACAGCATTGAACTCAACATGATGACTTCTATCTGTGGGACTAATGTCCAAAGTTCTTTATCCTATTGACCAGGGTTTTTTAAACTTTGCAGGTCACAGAAATAGTCCAGGAACTCTTGATCAAGAACTCTACTGACAGAATATTGGCTGAATTCCAACTGTTGTTTTGGGAGGTTTTGCCCTTAATCTTCCACTGAACTCTGTCAAGTTCTTACAGAATCCTAGGGTTCAGTGGAATACAATTTGAAAAAGCGGACTATAGACAATTGCAACTTTCAGCAGCCGTTTAGTCTACTGAATTGCTGATGTCTTAAACTGTTTACTTTTCAGTCATTCTTGATCCATTTTAAAAAACAAAGATTTTCTGATTGGTTGTAGAGGCCTTTGAAGGAACAAAGGGGAATAAATGTTATAATAAAAATACAATCCGCATTATAGGGATTAAAAGTCATATTTTTATGGAGGAGGCGGGAAATGGGAAATATTATTCAACACCGAATGCTGAATTCAGTGGTAGCAATTCCTAAACATCTAAATTTGCCCAGAAGAACACCAGCAAAAGTTCTAGAAAAGCATGTAATCTGTTTTCACTGGTGCCTAACAATGTGTCAATAGCTCTAAGAAAAAACTCATGCACTGTGTCCCTGGGAGTCCATGAGCCACCTGACCTTGACATGTTAACCGGTTCCTTGGACAAAAGAACCTGGAGCAGATCAAGAATGCATTCAGCACAGCTTTCCCTATGGACCAACTCCCTGTGAGAGGCCCCATCTCCATGGCAGCAGATTCTCCTTAATATTTACACCCCCACTACTTCTTCATACCAGGACCATCTGCTCACTTCACTCTCTTGTACATATGGCAGCAGCCAATTTACAACCACCCTGACAAGATTGTTGTTAATTTATGTGAGGAACTCCTCCTGGGATTTCTACCAGCATGATAGCCACGCTTGAAATCATCTCTGAATGTATATGTGTGTCCGCCAATGCATATGCGCATGCACACAGTGGACAAAAACCACAGCGAAAATTCACAAAGCGCACTTAGGAAAGTTTGAAGGTATTAAACATAGAAGAAATTAATGATGAGAAATACTGATCAGAGTCAGTGTTTCCGTCCCTTAAGCCAAATGAAAACAGATTGAATGGGGCAATTTGGAGGGTCGACAATTCTATTTGGAGGTGGGGGCTCTTTTTCTGTTCTTCAACCCTTTATTGAAATAGCAAATTGACATTTCATTTTGAAGGCTTCTTCTTCCAAGACATTAAAACTGAAAAACCATTTTAGGCAATTTTAGCAAGTTTAAAGAAATAATAGGCTCTTTGCAGTATGTTGGCATCGATTAAAAATTATTCCCAATTCAAATACTGTAGAGCTCTATTTTTCTCTCAGATAGACCCCCCCCCCCAAAAGCAGAAACCATTCCTCTAAAAACACTGCAATCAGGCTTTGATGCTATTTTTAAAAAAATAATGTTAATTAAATATGAATTTATTAAATAGCAAGTTTATTTACTATATAACCTTAGCTTTGGATACTGTATGGAAAAGCCAAAGTTCGGATATAACCTTGTCTATTATTATGTATCATTGTTTAATTTTAGGTAGCATATCTTCAATCTCAAGTTTATTTTAAAAGAAGCATAAATATGAATGGTTTTCACTAGCGATCACAATCATGAATCTATCAAGGACTTTCAAGGTAAAGATATAGAGACCTAAACAACTAAAATTATGTTGGAACCTTCTGGGGATACAAAATAACAGGAGTCATGAGATGATGTGAGAGAGATTCTAATGAAATAACTAACTACCCAAAAAATAACTAACTACCCCCCCCCAAAAAAGCAGTGTTTCTGAGGTGCTCTAAATGAAAAAATTTGTTAATGTGATTCTTAAGCATCTCCAAGAAGCCTGACTCAAATCTGTCAGTACCATTTATATTATTGCCTGAAGTACTTTCCTGGTAGGGAAATATCGTCAGTCTTTGGATTGACCCCAGTCATTGAGCCTGGTTCATTAACCTCCCCTAGATAAAAGGGCCATAAGGATCTTCAAGATTGGGCTTAACTTTTATCTTTCCAACCTCCTGGCTTTGCTGCATTTTCAAGTGCTCCTTAGCTATGTTCTTGACCTGGATCACTTAGCTCCAATTCTTAAGTCCAATTCCTTCCAACTGGTACCTATCATTCCATTTTATTGCTGTTGCCAGTGGACAAAGGTCATATTGCTACATGTCTCCAAATAGCATGCTACTAGGTCTATTGCCATGTTAATTTTCCATTTCATTTGCTACTCCGGGCAGTTGGGAGAGAGGATAGATGATTGGTCTCAGACCTGTATTACCTATATAGTATAATCAGTTAATCTTGTAACCTTATCCCTCCATTTTCTGTCTTTACCTCTTCTCTCTGTTTTACCTCGTTCCTACAGATCCTGATTACTCACAAGTTTTCACAAGAATTTCCGTGAGTGTTTGTGTTTCTGTATGCATACATGCATGCCGGTAGGCTCCATACTATACATTTTACAAAGTGCATTTTAGTAAGTTCAGGGCTTTTTTTGTCATAGAACATTCAGAACAGAGCTCCGGCACCTTTTTTGGATGGAACCTTGTAGGGTAGGCAAGGCGGGTTGTATGTCGTGTGTGAGTTCTGGCACCTTTTTTTTCTTCAAAAAAAAAAAAACACTGAGTAAGTCTATGTATGTGCAGTTACAGGAAGTTTTAAATATGTAAATAGCAGGAAGATGCCATAAAACACAATCTAGCTCAATCATATTTCCAGTTTTCTCATTCGATGACAGTTAAACTCACTATGTTACTCTTGAAAAAGATTGATCTAGCCTTAGTTACCTTAACTTATCATATCAGAATTAGTGCAATTGAGTCCATACATGATTACTTTTGAAAAGCATTAAAACCCCCACACTTATTCTGGAATGCTGTGGCCCATTTGCTAGTAGGAATTATAAATAGAGGCAAATGATTCCATAACAAAACAGATACACTAGCTTCTATTTTATTTCTGGTATTAAAGTGCTGGTGATGAGCTTGAATGTTCTGAATAGTTTGTGATCAGAATATTTAAAAGACTGTTTTTTTCTATCTGAACCTGATGCATCTACTGTCCTGTCCCAACAATCCCAAGAACCTTTCAGAACCAAAAAAAAGAGAGATTAGTAGCAAGCACGCAGGATTAACTACAGTATTGCAAGGGAATATCCTATGTATTTCCTAGCCTATTGCAATATTCTGCAATTTGCTAATCGCTAAGAGAAAAAGCAGGTTTCGCAGACTTGAATTCTGTCTGAAATTCAATATTTTGCAACAGTATGACTGATGGGAAGGTGAAAAAAAGCTCTCAGGTGTACTGATTAGTTCTAAATTGTGTGATTAGTCATACCTTGTCTATTAAATACCCTTGGCATCACACCAATTGTCTCTACTTCAGGTACTTCATCTTCTTCTGCATTGGAAACATTGGGTGGGACAGCTCTTCGCCCACTCAAACCAGCGGGAGTTTTCTTATTCTCAGTGGCCGTTTGTTCTGACATTGTAGCTATCTCACTGATGCCTCCCCTACATAAAGGATGCAAAGAGGAAAAAAAGTTAATGCGAACAAGCCATCTCTACACTAAACTGATCGTGCTATCACAGGAAACAAAAGTGTAGAAAAATAGATGCAAGCTAATATCACAAAAATACTCCAAAAAAATTCTCTTACATTGATGACAAAAAAAAGCTAAGAAAAGAACCTTGTCAATGTTCTAGTAATATCCAGAACACTCAGGGATTCAATTTTTTTTTTTTTAAAAAAAAGCATGCAACTTTAAAAACAACAACTAAGCATGCTATCTCTTTGGTCTTACACAAACTAGCAGAAAAAAATGTACATGAAACTCATTGGATTTCACAATTCCTGGGTCAATTATGGTATGTATATTGAGACTTCCTGAAAATGCTTTCAACAATTTATTACAGCCTGCTCATAAAATATTTCCTCTGAGCTCAACTGTTCTCAAGCACCAGTTCAAGCAATCATGCAAAATATTTTTACAGTAATTAACATCACTTTGAAATTAAATCGTTAGAATAAACATACCTTGTCTTAGAAGTTGTGCGTCTTGTTTCTCCTCAGTTTCACAAATGGAGCAAACTCTGGCCAAATATAGGCTTGAGCAAATGCTATATATGGTCTCTTCCACCCCCACCACTCCCTTTCTCCATCCCCTCCCTTCATGCCTGCAACATGACAGTCACCATAAAAGAAGAGGAGAGTTGTGAAGGATCTTCTCTTTTTTTAAAAAAAAAATATTTTTTATTGAACGTTTCAACAGCAATAATAAGAAATGATACAAACTAAAACAGAACAGAAGGATAAGAGAAAAAGGTAAATGTGCAATAAGAAAAAGTGTAGAAGAAAGTAGGAAAAAGAAAAATATAAAGAAGTGACTTCTGATATTCTTCACAGCAGTTATTACAATTATATTTTAAACTTTCTAAAGTTGCATCATGCCTCTCTTTTTTCTACAATCTATCATGTCTAAGCATAAAACCATAAATCATAAGTTCATTTAAAAAAAAAATTACACAAAAAGATTGATGACCAGGAATTAGGGGACAGTATTAATTGTGAATACATATAGAAGGCTTCTCTCTCTTTGGTCACTTGTAATCCTGGATTCAGAGTCAGGAAAGGATAGCAAGGACAACACCCAATGTCCTAACCCACCCAAGAACATACAATATCTTTAAATAACACTCAAATGAGAACATGTTTAGGTAATTCTGCTTTCTCCCTTCTTATCTACAGTATGCCAGACTTACTGGGTGCAATCTTTATCTTATGTGTGTCAGCTTTGCTGGATGGGTTGCTTATAAGGTGACCAACTTTTTTACAATGAAAAGGAGGACACAAATAAATTGAAGAAAAAAAATCATAAAAGCTGGCCCGGCGAATGGAAAGCCAACCGCCCGCCGCACCCCCGCCCACAGCTGCCCCACCAGCACCGCTGCCCCGCCATGTAGAGCAGGTCCTGTGACTCCCAAAGCACCAGCTGCACTGGCTCCAGCCCCGGGGGCAGCCCACAATCAACACACCCCACCTGCAACCGCCCCGCCCGCACCACAGCCCACCCTGCGCAGCCCCATGTAGAGAGGGCCCCGCGGCTCCCACAGTACTGGGGGCAGCCAGCCGCTGCCGCCCCTCACACACCCATCCGCAGCACCCCCGCCGCCCCTGCTTCTTGTGCCTGCAGCCATTATTGCCCTAGCAGAGCCGAAGATCAAGAGAAACTTACTGCTCCAGTCTCCTCCAGGTATCTTTGGGACTAACTAGGAGATGGTGTAGTTGGGTAGCAGGGAGGGGTGCAAAGTTCCTGCCAATTTGCCTTCGCTGCAGACAACTTGCATGTGCAAAGTTTGCCAGCCGGGTGTTTTGGCGCGCTCAGCGGCAATTCCTATTGGCTTTCGAAAGCCAATAGGCGGAGTAGCACAGCTCATGCAAAAGTTGAAAAAAAACCATCAAAAAAAGATGCCAGAACGCTTAAAAGTTTTTTTGCATTACAAGAGGATTTGGAGTTAAGAGACATTTGGCGAGATCGGAATATAGGAGAAAGTGATTTCACTTATTTTTCAGATAGACATCATTCTCATTCTAGAATTGACTTCATTTTGATTACTAATGATTTACTCCCCAGGGTTAAGAAAGTGAAGATTTTTTCTAGGATTTTATCAGATCATAGCCCTGTGTGGATGCTTGAGAGTTGACTTCCTCCTTCATTTTCCTGAACCTCTGACTTACTTTTAAATAATTTTGTACTTAGATTGCACGTCTATGAATTTCTAATAAATTTTCTGAAAAAATGCGACTTGTACTTATTCCCGTGAAGATACAGTTACCACACCCTGCGATCATTCCGAAAATACTCTCCACGAGATTAAAGTTACTTATGTCGTCATAGGCGAAAGCAGTTACAAAAGTATAGGGATTTGGAGCAAGAGATAAAAATGAAAGAAAAAGCTTTCTCCTTAAATCCAATGGATAATAATTTAAAGGTATCTATTGCAATGTTGAAGGAACAATTTAAGATGTTACTGGCTGATCAGACTGCAGTGAACTTGAGATATATGAAATATAACACATTTTGTAATGCAGATAAACCTGGAAGGTGGTTGGCTTACCAATTGTGAAAGAAACAAAAACAAAGAGTTATAGAGAAAATAAATTATAAAGGTAAAGAAGTTTTTCAACAAGACTTGATTAAAAAGGCCTTTCTGGAATATTTTTCAAAATTATATGCCTCGGAGAATATACAATCTTTTGAAATAGATAGGTATTTGCAACAAGCAAATTTTTTTAGACTTTCAGATGAACAACAAGGAATGATGAATTGTCCGATTGTGTTGGATGAGATTATAGAGGCAATTAAACAGTTAAAGGTTGTCAAGGCTCCTGGTACAGATGGGTTAACTGCAATATATTATAAAATGTTATCGGAATAAATGTTAGAACCTTTGAGATGTCTTTTTAATAGTATATTGTCTGGATTAGATGTACCACCATCGTGGAGGTCTGCATTTATATCACTTATACCGAAGGAGGATCAAGATTTGACTCAGCCCAAAAGTTATAGGCCAATATCTTTATTGAATACGGATTATAAAATTTTTGCAAAAATTTTAGCTAATAGATTAATGCAAGTATTGAAACGGATTATACATGTAGACCAATCTGGATTTATAACTGGCAGATACATGAAGAATAATGTTAGACAAATTGTAAACTTGCTTGAATATTTGGACAAAAATAATCAAATTCCAGCGGCTTTTATATTTCTGGATGCTGAAAAGGTGTTTGATAAACTGGATTGGCAATTTTTGTTACGAGTGGTGGAGAGAATGAATTTTGGAGACAGATTTTTGTCAGTGTTAAAGGCTATTTACCAATTACAATCAGCACAAGTGGTAGTAAATGGAGGATTGACAGACTCATTTAAAATTGAGAAAGGTATGAGACAAGGATGTCCACTATCACCTCTATTATTTGTTTTGACTTTGGAGATTTTATTAATCAAGGTTCGAGAATCATCGGTTATAAAAGGAATAACTTTGGACAAGAATGACTATAAGCTTAGAGCGTTTGCTGATGATCTGGTTTTCACTCTATCCCAACCGATTGATTCAGCAAGAAATCTGACACAGATTTTGACTCAGTATGGGAAAGTTTTTGGATTTAAAGTAAATAATAATAAGACTAAAATATTAGCTAAAAATATGTCAATGAAAGATAAAGAGACTTTAAGTAATTCAACTGGTTTTGAAATAGTGAAAAAGGTGAAATATTTGGGTGTTTATATTACAGCCTCTAATGTCAAATTGTATAAAAATAATTATGATAAGTTATGGATAAAAATAGTTTTCCTAAATCTCCTCACCTTTTTCAATGTTAATAGAAACAATCCCTCTTAAAGTCACCAATTTTACTTATAAGAAGGATTTAAGGAGAAAAACAAAGTTTACTATGGATAAAATTTTTTCCTGAATTTAAACCTACTTACCGTTTCTCCATAATTATCATTTATCTGGCAGGGGAAAAAGCTGAGGGTTAAATTTAAAATTATGCAAGATGCACGGGAAAGAGGGGGACTTAAAGCCCCAAATTTAAAATTATATTATGATGCGGTGGTTCTAACTTGGATTGATGATTGGATTAATTTAACTAATAGAGACATATTGTTTCTGGAAGGTTGGGATTTATTTTATGGATGGCATGCTTATTTATTTTTTGATAAGAAGGTTGATCAAGTTTTTAAGTCTCATATTATAAGAAGTGCACTTTTGAGAGTTTGGAAAAAGTATTATTATAAATTAAATGTTAAAATTCCAATTTGGTCTATTCCGGAACATGCAATACAAGGAATTACAAGAGGAGTTAAACTGAAAGGGATTGTTTATAAGGATTTGCTTATTGCAAGAGGACAGGACTGGCAATTTAAATTATTGGATGATTTGAAACAAGATAATATTCTCCAGTCCTAGTTTTTATAGTTGGTGGAGAGGTGGCATATAGACCAAAAGCTTCGTTTAACTTTGGAAGATGTGAACTTGATAAAGCAGATTAAAGATCAAAGTAGAGCCCATATTAGGAGAATTTATAGTGTTTTGATAGAATTTGATTCGGAAACAGAATTAGTTAAAGATTGTATGATTAAATGGGCACAAAATATTCAAGAACCAATTATGTTAGATACATGGGAGGTAATTTGGGTAAGAAATGTCAAGTTCACCCAAGCACAGAATTTAAGGGAAAAATTTTATAAAATGTTTTATAGATGGCATGTAGATCCCCAAAAATTGTCTTGCATGTATCCAAATTTTCAGCCAAAATGTTGGAGATGTGGTAATTTAGACGCAACTTATTATCATATTTGGTGGACATGTAGGGATGTAAAGGCTTTTTGGATTAAGATCTGGTGGAATATTCAACAGATTTTTAAGAAAAAGATAAAATTTACACCGCAATCATTTTTATTGGGTATTATGGAAAATTTGGATCCTAAAGAAATGAATCTGATGTTGTATTGTATAACAGCAGCAAGATTATTGATTGCTCAAAACTGGAAGAAAGAGATATTACCGACTATGGATGATTGGAGATTGAAGGTGTCATATTTTGCAGAAATGGCAAAAATTTCCGCATACTTGAAGGATCAATCTCAAGAAAAATTTATTTCGGTGTGGAGAAGATGGATAGATTATATGAAGATAAAGTATGAAGTGATTAATTATCATATAGCTTTTGAATAAATATTTTTTTTCCTAATATTTTTTATATATTTAATATAATTTATATATATATATTATATTTAAGTTTATTATTGTATGTTAGAGTTAAAGTATGTTAATTTTGTTTGTATTATGAATGGATAGCTTAATTTAGACTTGGGATGTTATGTATTTATCCCTGTACTCAGTTCTGGGAAGTCCGGGGGGGGAGGGGGGAAGGGGATGAAGGGGTAGAATTATAAAAAAAATTGGTGTATTGATAAAAGTAATGTAAATGTTTGTCTTTAAGAAGAGGAGATGATCGGCTAGTACCCCTAAACTGCATCCGAG